TGCGGTTTTCGGTTGCTGCCGCACAACGAATCGACGTCCTCTCTCATACCGGTTGAACCTTTCTTGTTACCCAATCGAAAAAAATAGAAACACATTAAGGCATGCAAAAACTCGAAATTGTTTCATTGTGTGAACTTAAATTTTACTAAATTTAATTTGTAATTTAAATAATTTAATTATTCGTAATTATAATAAGCGTCTTGATATATTACACGCGTAAATACACTGTACGCAATAAACACCGATGATCAAGTTTCGATTAGTTCCGATTCCTTTAATCACTAGATGACTTCAGCTGAAGAATCACTTCTACTAATGCATGCATGCACTTAGTAAAACATTCAGCAACATTTTACACTAACACCTGGCTTATGTCACATAGTCAATGCCGCGGGGGAACATCAACTGATCAAAAGGAAATTAGTACTCAAACGCAAATTAAAACTGAAGGTTATTAAAGACAGATATGTTGTTCATATGCAACTTTATATATCGCTTAGGATAATATCAGAATTTCCGCTTTTTTTCAGAAGTGGTAAATTTATACAGTAAACGGTACAAAGACAGCACCACCCTGGGATACAAATGAAGCTGACGAAACTCCATGTATCTTACCAGAAGAAATGCAACATACAATAAAACAGTCGAAATTAGGAAAGGCTCCTGGCGAAAATGGCATTACAATAGAAGTCGTGGAATCAGGAGGAAGTGCAACACTGAACAAAATATAAGCGCGTTTGTTTTCAGGCTGTCCGTAGGAAGTGAAAGTTCGAGATAAATGAACAGCTGCATCAGTGAATCTACTAGACAAGAAAGAGAGGAGGATTTATCAAAATTTCAGGGAATTCACTTTGTTACATCATCTGCAAGGTCTTCACGAAAGAACTGACTTCAACGAAAACTGCACACTGAGCTGCAAAAGGAACAAGCAGGATTCACAAGTGGATTTATTTTACGACTGATCATCTCCAAGTAGTACAGCATGTAATTCAAATAAGCAACGGATCTCAGCTTCCTCTCGTCGTCGATTTCGAAAAGGATTTAGATTCAATTTGCATCTGCTCTGAACTGCATGAGCCATAGATTCGAGAAAAGATGTAGAGACTTCATCTCCATGATTTACAAGATCGCAAGTGCTAGTCTGAATCTAAGTGACGGCACAAACAAGTTCAAAATCGAAAAGGTCGTCCAACAGGGAGGCGCAAGCCTAGAAGAGGCTTTCAAAACACACCCTGAGTAAAATCAGGGAATGAACACAAATGGGTACCACGTCAGCTACCTGTCTTTTGCGAATGACACTCTGACCCTTTCAAGGGCACTAGAAGGACTCCAACGAATATTCCAAGAGCTAAACGATGCCTGCATCAAAGCAGAACTAAAACCAGATGACTCAGGTTTGAAAAATATGTTAACTACATGACCTATTAAAGTCAACGGACTTGAAAGAAGTGCAAAACCACGTATATCTGGGACAGCTCATCTTTGCAAAGGAGAATCGACCATTTTAAAAAATCAGAAGACCTGCATGGGACAGTGAAAGATCGAAAATTTTTCAACCAGGTGCATTGATCTTGTGCTTAAAACAGAAAGTACTCGTTCGGTGTATGCTCTCAGCGCTAACCTATGGGTGCGAAAAGTAGAGCTTAAACCCAAAGGATATCCATAAACTACAGACAACGCAGCATGAAAAAATGTATGTTCGGGAAAACATGAAAAGATAGGAAGATGAATTTACGGATAAAAACGCACACAAGTATTTGTGATGTCATTGCCTGAGTGAAAACGTTAAAGTGTCAATGTGCTGCACACGTTGCAAGAAGAACCCGCCATCGATGAACCAAAAATACATCAGATAGGATTTCAAGAGAGAGTAAAGGACGCGTAAGAAGATCTTCAGGTCGATCGCAGGATGAGCTGAAGAAGTTCGATGGATCAAGACTGAACAGGGCAGAAAACGGAACTCTATTGCATAACGTTGAAAAAAGCTTCGTCAGTGGTATGGTAAAAAGTCTTATCAGCATGGTAAAAAGTCGAAGATGATGGAAACCGAAAAACTGAAAAAAACTCATGTTAGTCGATGAATTTTCGCAAACGAAAACTTGGAATAAGCTCTCACCGAGCACTAGTCGTTGCTCATCTCAGTTCCTCATTCCTGTGCCATCGCACTTTTCGACTGCTTCACAGGCAGAATTGCTGCAGATGACGACGTTAGCTTCACCGTGAAACAATCAAGTCTATTAGCTTATGCAACGCAATGATAAACGCCGCGTGGCATTAGCGAACAAGATGATGCGATATGCGTCTCACACTGCGGGTGCTCGAGTGCCATAGAAAAAAAGGCTGCCTACATGACCCTCTAGGCAACTAGGAGCAAGGGGCAATGCAGTACGCGGTGAAATCTGATTTTGAAGGAGTTATGCGTTAGTTTCTGCAACGTAGCTGATACTATTATGTATAAGGAAAGATGCATCCTGATAATACATGTTATCTGCCAATGTCAATGCTTTTGAGACTGATTTGCATTTCAGCGTATCACTATACTATACCCAGTCAGCTCACTCGACATTGTTGTGCCGCATCCTTGCTACTGGAAGATTAAAAATTCATTGAAGCAAAAGCCCAGCCGCGAAATTTCAGCACTTGCAGGTAAAGATGCATCTCACAACATTTGATAGACCAGAGGAACTCCTCTTATTACAAATGGCGATTCAGAAGTTGGTATTCCTTACATGCTTTAATATAAGTATCAAAAAGCGGATCGAACACCCAAAACATTAAAAGCATGAACATAATTTCATTTAACTGATAAATTGCAAATTACTGTGAACATCTACACTGGAGGCAATAAAAACATTCGCATCTAAATAAATATCTGGACAAATTGTATAAAAGAGTTCACGCAAGACACAAGAAAGCATCGCGAAATCCTTTTTTTTCGCAGTCACCGTCAGAATGATGATGCATAATGACCTTTAAGCGTGTTGAGCCGAAGTTCCAAAAGGCATCTGATGGGTGAAATAAAGAAATGAAAAGAAAATAACATTTCTACTCTTTAGCAGTCAAAATAAAATCTTGGGTGGGAGGAGACGGGTAAATCAAGCCGACCAAATTAAGAAATTCATATATTCAACTTTCTATACGATTGATGGCATTTGCCATTATCGCTGCTAAAACAAATTATCCAGTGAGCAAAATACGATTCTTGAGTGATCTGACTCACACGTTAAACTACAAATTACAACTTTCAGCAATAACTTGATGTAAAGTTCATACGCTATTATGATGCTCATGCTATGAGAAAGACAAGGCAATGATCGATTTGCTGAGAAAGCGAAAGCACTTCGAACAATAATCATCATTAGTGCTGTCAATCGCTAGAAATCTTCGTCAGCCAGTCAGTTCCGATGACTGATTACCCTTTTGGGTTGTGCAGGCGTTAGATAGTGCAACCAACGTTTCCGATCTCGTGCCAGCATTTAGAATTCGGCAAAAAATAACTTGAGTCTGGAGCAGATTCTATGACACTTGCCTAGGCTATTCTTGGCCGCTCCCTGGATCTTCGGTAGGTCGGATGGACAAGTAGGCGTTACCTCGCTTTCATTTCTGAATGAATGACTTGCCCAGACCAGCGTAGCTGTGACTTCTCAATCTGCAGAAGCAGTGCATATACGCCAAGGTACTCTCAGATATTTGTACTCCGGACCAAGCGTAAGCCAAGCGATTCGTCTCAGAATGCCCATTTCAGCAGCTTGCACCCGGGATCGAAGTTTTCCTGTTATGGCTTACGAATTCTAACCGCAGACGACAATCAGGATAAAGATTCACTAGATTTTAGTCTTCAGACTCAGCACTAACTTCGTAACAACGGCTCCGGTTAATTCAGAATTTCAGTGGTGATTCCAATTCGAGGGTCGCTCCTCATATTTTCCATCACTAGTAAACATGACTAGAGGTACCTAACTTTTTCACCTGCTCCAGTGCTTCTCTGTTTATCTGAAGAGAACAACGGGCAGAAGAACGAAAAAGCACTAAGCCTTTGGATTAACAAGTTTACAGGCATGCCTGCTACGTCGCGCTCAGCTGTGAACCTTTCCACAGAGATCTGGAGATCAATTTCCGAAGATAAAAACAAAACAACGTTGAACTACAACGCTGACAAGCAGCAATCTTTTTGTCTTCGCATCTCCTACGTCCACGCATTTGTCGCCCTGCCTACGCCTGACTATTCCATCCATTTAACACAAACAGGAGAGGGGACA